AAAGAGTAATAAAGATTGGTTTCAGATTTCTATAAATTTTTCACAAGATCATATAAATGATTCTGATGCAGTATCACCAGAAAGAATACGCCTGTTATTAATACCAGTAAAGCCTAATACTTGAAAGAGTTCCCTTATAACCTTTCAAGATTTACTGAATAAGATTTACGCAAGTCTTCTGTTACAGATTTTTTAAATTATTTCCAGCTTTAAAACAGATATCCTCCCACTGTGCAAAGTCTTTAGTAACTAAACCTTTTATTGCACTATCTTCATCGTATCCTTGTCTCTGAAGGTGAGATAAATGCAGAAAATGTTTTGAGATTCAGATGGCTAAAAACGTTCTATGAATTTCTTTTTGCAAAGATTATCCCAGTTATTATTCTTTACAGCTATAAATATTTCGCATGTAGAATCGTTTAAGTGCCATAGTATCTGTGATAAAATGTTCTTGATCAAACTTAAGATTTTCAGCTTCTTCAGGAATAAGGTTTCAGAAAATAGCAATTGCATTGAAATCTGTTTCTTTGACAACTAATGTTTCAACTCTAATCTCATTGCAGACCCTTTTGCAGTTCCCTATAACTTTTCGACTCTCATCCATTTTTATAAGTTGGAGAAAAACACTTGTACTGGCTATAAGACTACAAAGATTTTCAATAAAATATCTTGCAGAAAGACATTTTTAATACTCGACTTCAATAAAAGTTATTACAGCTGGAGACTCATTTACTTTATAAGAAATGGTATTATTATTTCATTCATGATATCCCTTTATTGCTGTGAGTAAATTATTAGGCTGAGCACTTGCAAATTCTGCTGAATATTTTCACGACCTGGTGGACGAAAAAGTTCATTAGAATTTTTCTGATAAAACATAGAAATAATGCGATGAGAACAATCACGAATTCAGTAAAGCATTTGTGCAAGAACCTCAACATGAACTGGAGTGGCGATATTTGTAATAGCTATAACTATATTGAAGTAGCCTGTAACTTCAAATGATATTCCAGCCTCTACAGTATTTGTATAGGCTATGCAATCAAGCTCACTTCAAGCAATATTAATATTAGAGAAGTCTTTTTATCTCTGCTTCCCATCCATATGGCAAAAAAAAGGTTAAATGGGCAGGAAGGTTCAAGAAAATACACGAAAAAAAAGTATGAAAGAACAGTATAGTAATATCTAGAAGTAATCGATATGGGGTATGCCTAAAGTAATGATTATACGAGAAAGGGTTCTAGGAAAGTAAGGGTGAAAAATAAAGTATAAATTTAGTAGTATCTACAAGTAGAATAATATATAGGAAATAAAATAGAAAATTATGCTTATAGATACTACTGGCAATAAGCAGGAAAGAGGTCAGAAAGGCTCAGA